AAAAAAAAAAAAAAAAAAAAAAAGATGGTTACTAGAGAGGAGGTGGGTGAGTGGATGGTGGAGGCGAAATCGGTGATGGGGATTAAGGGGCGAACTTGCTGTGATGAGCCCCGGGTGGTGTAGGGCAGTGTTGAATCGCTGTATTGTACACCTGAAACTTACATTACACTCTATGTTAACTGGAATTTAAATAAAGACATTAAAAAAAAAGAAATTACCATCAACTCCCTGGCCCTACCAGATTACAAATTATCCCCCTTGATAATGTTCATTAGCCATAGAAACATGCCCCACCTCCTCAGTGTACTTTATACCACCCTCCTTGACCTAAATCTTTGAACTTTTTCCATATGATTGTGCCTTTCAGATATTTTTTCATGATTCTCAGCAGCTTATAGTTAGCTCCCCCCCACCCCCACACAACATGGTTTTGCTATGGCTGTAGCAGCCTCCTGAAATGTCTTTCCTCCTCTCCTCACTTTGTCTACCTCACTCTTGTCCCAAATGATTCCTGTATCACTTTCTAATGTCATCAAACGTCATGTGAAGGAAAGTTTGCCTGAACCAACGGGTGTTGAACTGGGAGTCTTTTTCTTGCACTCCTGGTGTGTTCTCTTTCCTATCAGGCGCTGAAATTGTCTGTGTCTCCCAGCTGGACTTCTCACTGGTGGGCATTGTGGTTTACTGTATTTCTCAACTCTAGTATGGTGTCTAGTATATAGCAGGCACTCCGAAAATATTTAGTGAATTGTACAATCGGACCCAGTTTCTCTACACAGACAATTTCCTCCAGAAATGCTATAGTCACTAAGGAGATTCAGTAGCCATTTTCTTCTAAATTATCCTTATGCTCAATTGAATAAAGGTACTGGAAAGGGGTTTTGTGAGAAAATGCTTCCTTGTTCAGAAAAGGAGATTATGTGATAGGGAGATAGCTCTATTATACTCTATCCTCTCTGACCTGTAAATGTGCCTTAAGTTCATTTATATATTTATTTCTGTAATATTTATTTCTGAGAGCATTCCTATGAGACAGGATGCAACATTGAAATCATAAGACATCAATGCCTTCTCACCCCTCAAATCAACCACGGAAGTATCCAAGGCAGACTAACGGCATGGCCCATCCTCTGATCCTAGCAGTTACTAACAAATATTAACAAGTTAAGAGTCATAAATATCATCTATGAAAGCAATTGGTTTTAGTCTAGTGCTGAAATGAGATGCAAACTAACCCCAGTTTAATTTTTTTTAGTGTTTTTATTTTATTTTTGAGAGAGAGGGAGACAGAGCATGAACAGGGGAGGGGCAGAGAGAGGGAGACACAGAAGCTGAAGCAGGCTCCAGACTCTGAGGCTGTGTGAGGCTCTAACTCCCAGACTGTGAGATCATGACCTGAGCCGAACTCGGATGCTTACCCAACTGAGCCACCCAGGCACCCCCTTTAGCCCCAGTTTTAAATAACCAACTTGTCAAAACAATAACTTTCTACTTTGAAATGCATGGCTTAACTAACTCCACAATGAACAACCGGATTCTTTGGCCTGGGGATTTAGATGGGCTCACTTCGATGATGTCTGTTTGTATTGACCTAGTCATGATTCCCAGGCCAGAGTAATGGTGATAAGTATATTGCACGTTGAGCCTTTTGATGAGCAGAGCTCTTTCACATAAAGTTCGATTTAAAATTGGTAAGACTACATAATGATAATTATATGGAAAAGATTGACGACGTGTGTCAAATATCCACTCTAAAAGTTTCTATGTGAACTGAGGCAGATTCCTTAATATCTCGACGATTCAGTTTCCTCATAGGCAAAGTGGGGAGATGAATAACTCTTACTTTTTTTTGTTTTTTTGTGGGGATTTAATAAGGTAATACAGGTAAGCATTTAGAACATTATCTGGTACATGCTAAGATTTCAAAATGCTTATTACTATGATTGAAAATATGTGTTTGAAAAAGACTTTTCACTCTATCTGCTGCATAAAGATTTATATAATTGCAATTTCTGGTTTTTGTAATTAATTTTCTTGGAATGTTTTAGTTCAGCTTCTTCACATAAAGAAGGTAACATCTGTTATTATCAAAAGGTTAACTAATAAAGAAGATAAAGGGACATTGCTCACTGTTTGTTTTAGAAAGTTGTACTGACATAGAGTAATAAAACAACAGTGTCTCCTTTATATGTATTTGAGGGAAATACTTCTCTATAAATTCCACAGTGTCAGTTACAAAATTGCCCCTTAGTTTCCATAATATGATTTTTTTCCCTATCTGTGGAAATGAAGATTCTACCTCTGTTCTGGCCAAAGTTCTTTGTAGCTGTATCCAGATGCTTCCCCCACCCCCAGTTCTTCCCACAGCCACCATTAAGGAATCTTTTACTGCTTGGAAAAGTTTTAATATTCAGCAGGTTAAGGAAACCCATGGTCAGCTTTAGAATTTTCGTCTCTGCTGAGCTTTCAAGGTGTCAAGACCCTAAAATAATATGAACAGCAGGAGTACTAAATCTTTCATTATTTCCAGTTTCCCCTTGAGCATACTGACTTTGCAATAAAGAAGCTGTCATTTACACTCTTCTTTATTGCAAGGTGGGTAATAGCTACAGGGAGAAAAATAAGGAATTGTGTCAAGTTAGCCTGACTGCCATTATGATTAATGTGTAATCATTGCACATTTGCATCTACTCTTTTTATATACAGGTACTTCATAGATTGGAAGAGTGATGGGGACAGCTACTTTACAATAGATGGAACTGAAGGAACCATCGCCACTAATGAATTACTAGACAGAGAAAGCACCGCGCAGTATAATTTCTCCATAATTGCGAGTAAAGTTAGTAAGTATGGCATGGACAGAATCAATGTTATACTGCAGTTCTTTGGATTGAACACTCTTAAACGAGTCCCTGCTGAGGTGTTTTTCATTTTTGGACTGACAGCTGAGTGGTCTCCTGGGGAAACTCAGAAACCTGTTCCTTTTCCTCGTAGCGTAAGTCCGGAGAAATTGTGACAGCCGCCAATGAGCCCTGTTTGCAGACTTGCATGAATATCTAGCAGTGAGTGCATTTCATTGTGTGACCTCATCCCTTTCAATGCTGTGCCCGCAAAAATCTGCCAGCTTTCCAGCTTCTCTTCCACGCCGGACCCCTGTATACAATATTGGGAGCTTCAGAGGCCAGGCAGGAGGAATTCATTATCACACAAAATAGCCCATTCTGAAATATTTTCTCAAACTGAAGAGAGTATTCTTAAAATCACCCCTCTCCCTTCTCTCTTTTTCGTAGAATGTAATTTTAATGTGATTTTTTTTTTTTTATAAATGTCACTGTGGAATATGCAGGAGCTATAAGCGGTTTTCTTTAAGGAATCCCTCAGAATCAATAGGATTGCTAGGACTGATCCCTTGTGTTGGTGTCTGCTTGGTCCAGAAGACAATCCTCTAGACTGAAAGTGGCGTGGGCCATATATGTTTGTCTGGACAACCTAGGATATTATCGCAGCTTCCTCAGGTAACAGATTAGTGGGGGGAATGGTGACATTTGGTTTTCGATGTAGTTTGCAAAATGAGTGCATCTCCCAGTCATCTGCTTCTGGTCTTGTGAAAGGCTTGGGGAAATCCCTTCTGAGTGTCTTTCATTTTGTTCCCTTCTTATTTTATTTTGTTCATCTGCTACTTTGGCAGCTAATTTCCTTTTTCTGTGCAGGGGAGAGCTGAATGTGAATATTTCTGTTGAGGGGTTTTTTGTTCAGTCTCCACTCAGTGGGTGTAAATATTAAACAGTTTCGTTTATCTTCAACAATTGTGACTAAAGAAGAATAGACACCTATTCTGAGGCCTTAATGATGTCTTTAACTGATTTCATTACTTCTAGGTTATTCTGATTATTAAAGGTCAGACTTACAAAAAAGAACATGCAGCTTCCATCTTGTTTCTTGGAACACTGACCTGTCACATAAAAAAAAACTGATTACCCTGAGGCTACCATTCTAGAGTGGTCACATGTGGGTGCTCAGGTTGACCATGCCAGTTCAGCTCAACCTTTCCATCATACCTTCCAGGGTGCTGAGTATGTGAGTGAGACTGTCTTGGAAAGTGTACTAGCTGAATACCACAGTGTAACATCCACCAATGCCATGTGAAACAGAACATGTGCCCAGACCAGCCCTGCCCGGATTCTTACAATGTTGTGAGAATGTCTAAAACAGTAATTAGGGGCGCCTGGGTGGCGCAGTTGGTTAAGCGCCCGACTTCAGCCAGGTCACGATCTCGCGGTCCGTGAGTTCGAGCCCCGCGTCGGGCTCTGGGCTGATGGCTCAGAGCCTGGAGCTTGTTTCCGATTCTGTGTCTCCCTCTCTCTCTGCCCCTCCCCCGTTCATGCTCTGTCTCTCTCTGTCCCAAAAATAGATAAATGTTGAAAAAAAAAATTAAAACAGTAATTATTTCAAGCAACTACATTTTAGGGTTATTTGTTGTGGCATGGCAATAGATAACTGCAGAACTCGGTGACACCATAAGTTGGAACTGTGACCCCTCGCTTGTAGGGTACACGTTCTCCGGCCTGTCAGAGTGGAAAAGAGAGAGGGAAACACACAAGTCTCTCTTATCTGCCCGATATGATACTCCATTGGCTGCCACTGCTTCTAGGACTAAATGGACTGGCAGGAAAGGCTGCTGCCCAAACATCGTCTTCTTAAGTGAACCTTGAGTTATCGGACGGTGCGGGTTCTGGGCATCCCATCTGCATAGGAACGTGATATGAGCACTCAGTAGTAGATCTTCTGGCTTCTCAATTCCATGGCCCCCTTGCATCGAAGGCAGTCTTCTTGGGTGAGTTTATAACATGATTTCTCAATTTTAGCCTTTGGTTTGCCCACTTGACCCTGAGGAAATTCACCCATCCTTGTTACGCTGAACAGGTGTTTTACAAGCTGCTCTTGTACCGTATGATTTCTCTGTCCTGCCATCTCCTTACAAAAGTATGTCCCCTGTACTCAGGCTTTGAGAGCAGATCATCCAGTCAGCTGCCAGAGCTGTAGAGCAGACATATCGTCAAGAGATCAGAATGCTGGTCTTCCCTTTTTGGAGGACACCTGTTTTCTTTAGGGTGTTTTCCTGAAGACTGCTTTCACGCTTGGCATCTTTTTTCTCCTCCTATACCACATCCGATTACAGTTACATTTGTTACTCATCATTTCTTTCATGTCAGCTCTCATCTATGTTACTCATCGAGTCTTGGGGGATAGCTTAACCATACTGTAGTTAGAAAATAAAGTTTAGCTTTAAGATCTTCGGCAAATGTGGTCAAAATGAATTGTTTGTGTTATAGACTATAAGACCTTCCTGAACCATTCACTCTAATGGCTTATACATAATAAGTGACAGCTAAGCAGAGACCGTTTCTTCATATCACTTTTATTTAGCAAAGACATATTGCCCATAATAAAAGATCATTCATTAGAAAACTAATCTTACTGAGACTTTCGTCTTAATACACACACACACACACACACACACACAC